GAAAGAGTTGACAGTAGCTAGTAGGTTACCTTGGCTGCATATTTGTCTTAGGCAGAAACATTCTGGAAGAAACGAGCATTTGTTTGCAGAGCGAGTAGGTTAACAGCCTGACACGGAAGCACAGCACTTTTAAGCTGCTTATGTCAAATTAAAAACTCAGTTTAGTAAGCTCCATCTCAGAGTGTCTCTTAAGTTCTTGAGAACAGTGCAAGGAGATGGCCTGCTCTTCCACAGTCTGTTCTGGTTCATATGTGTTGATGAAGTTCTGGTGTGCTTGAGTTAAAAAATTAGCCCTCAGGTGGCTAGTTGACCTGTTTGGATTCCAAAAAGATGATCTCCAGTGCCTTCTTGCTCTGCTGTGTTCTTTTCTTATTCTGCTTTTTCTAGACATTCTTTTCTAATTTATTCAGAATTCAAATGCAAGGTTCAGAAATTTTCAGCCTTGGAATTCTTCAGTTTTTAATGAAATTATTCTGTCTCCATTTCTGAAGAGGTAATAAAAGGGGAGGCATGATAGCACATAAAGAGGGTGTCTTGTTTTGTTGTTGTGGTTTTTCTTTTTTTAGAAATGTGAATCCATCTTTTCCTTTTAAGCAACTATTAAGGGGGGGTTTTCCATCTTTGGTACTTCTCCTCCTGCATGATTTTCTACAGGTTTTAGTACTGTAGTGTATACCTGTGTAACGAGGCTACAGCTGACATGTGCGTCTGACAGCTACATCTAACACATGAGTTCTAAAAACAGGCGTGCAGATTTTAGTGCCTAAGAGATCGAAGACAACACAGAAGATGTCTTAATTTTTTTGAAGAAAACACTCAAGTACCTGATGGCTGACATTCATCACTGAAACTCAAATGACTGTTGAGGATCCTTGCTAGTTCTGTATGGCGTAGTGTTTTCTAGAATATGAGCAACAGGAAGCAAGTAGTTTTATAGGTACAGAATATGTAGATATACAGCAGCATCAGATGCCTTGAAATTTTTATATTGTTGTTTGCACTGGATTCCTAGAGGTGTTAACTTCGTAGATTTAATAGTCAGTTTATCAGTTCATTCAGTGTCCTTATTTTTCAAGGCTGAGTAATATGCTATGCAGTTTTGATGAACCTAAAGAAACAGACTTCTATACATGGAATAATACTTAAAAGGGATGAGCTCATGAACTTTATAATGATTGAGGATAATGTACTAATTATACACTATGGTAGTTGTGGTAGCCCTATTTGGACACCTCTGAGTCAAAATCAGAGGAGTTGTCTCTAAGGGTGGCCTTATAGTAGGCATGTGTTACCAACCAATTTTTCACCATGAGGACAATCAAACATTGGAAAAGTCTCTCAAGGGAAGTGGTAGATTCCCCCACATTGGACAGGGTGCTGAGCCATCTCATATAAACTATAGTAGTACCTAGAAAGGTTGGACCAGATGATCCTTAAGGTCCCTTCAAACCTGGCATTCTATGGTTCTACGATTCTATGATACACTTCTTTTGAAAGATTAAACCTCTAATTAAAAATAAATCCTAATTCAAAATAATAATAAAAAGTACATCATCAACAACAGATGTTTAATTACCAATGTTTCATTCTGAGACATCTACCTAAGCATCAGTCAGGTATTTATTTTAAATTAGGAAGCATCTCATTAGAAGAAAATAAACTGGATTGTTTCTGTGCAGCTACCTTAATATGAATGGTATACACAAGAAAAAAAATCACCTTACATTTTGTTTGTGGAATTGTGAAGAAGGCAGACATTTCCCTGCAATATTTTCCTTCTACTTTCCTTCCTTCTTTTCATGGTATTTGTAAGGGTCCTCATTTTCTTACGAAGAAATGAAGAACAATCAGAGTTCCCTTTGTGAGTGATGACAACTCAAAGCCCCCAGAGCTGCATTTGGTGTATCCAGCTTCTGAAGAGTCAGGGTGAAAGGCATTTACTTTGTCTGGTTACTTATTTTAGCCAAGCAAAGAAGAAGGGGAAAATTAAAATGTACTGTGTATGTGAAAATACAATGTACTGTGTATAGTTTGCTGTGTCTGTTTTCACACTCTTTGGGGCTGCTTTGATGGCTATACTTGTGAGGTATTTTCAAAAGCTTTTTCCCTGTGTACATGAAGCATCTTATCTGTTACTTGGCTGCCAAAGCAACTTCTCTCAAATTAGCTCTGCTTCGGGTTCTAAACCGTCGTCTCTTATGAAATTCAAATTTCTTGGCAGTCTTGGGAGCTGTGAAGCCAAGGAAATGTCTGATCCAACAGTCAGTGTATTCCTTCAGACAATGGCAAAAAGCACTACAGCTGAGGACGTTACCTAATATTTAAATAGTCTTTTGAAGTGTCTTGGTAATGGGGCTTTAGTTTTTCTCATTGCTGCCACTCATTGTTGTTGTTTTCTAATGTGTTACAGAACAGAAGCAAACACCTGGAGAAAATCCATGTTGTTCTTGGGAATAAATCCTGTGATTTGGATTCGCTCATTTCTACTCTGGCCTATGCCTACTTTCTAGACAAGGTAATGGAAAAAATGGAATAAGTGGTCTCAACTCATTTGTACCAGGTTCTTATTGTTAAGTTAATTAAAACTTAATGTAAAAACACTATTCTGGACAACCATTTTGTTACAATCAGAGGTGATATTTTAAAATAAAAACAATATACATTTATTTCCATTAAAAAATGAATGAGTGGGTATTAGGTTGCTTATTAAATAACAGCAAAAAATCACCCCTGTACATCATTCTTACTCCTTTCTCCTTCCTAGTATCCCAGTGATGCTGTAGAAGGCAAACAGAGATATAGAAGAACAAGAAAAAAAGCAAAATATGTTTATTTTAAAAAATAAGTAAAAGGGAAAAAAATCAAACAAAAATTCAGGATTGTTTCTGATTGTTCACTCTGTTAAAACATCTTCCTAATAAAAAAGAGGTCTTATTTTATGCAACTCTGCCAAATTCACACCTATCTTACAGGTCAGTCCTCCTGATGTTCTTTGCTTACCTGTGTTGAATATACCAAGAAGAGATTTTAAGTACTTCACAGAGACAAGATTTATACTTGAGGAGCTGAATATCCCGGAGTCATTTCATATCTTCCGAGATGAAATCAATTTGCACCAGCTGAATGCTGAAGGGAAATTGTCTTTAACACTTATAAACATCAACATGCTGACAAGGTATGTACAACAAGATGGCTTATGTGGTTTAAGCTGTTTTAGAAATTGTAGTTTACTTTTTTTCTTCAATAATATTGGTATTGCTATGTTAACACAGACCAAAAAAGAGGAAGCTAAAATACATGTTGTCTCCCATTATGTCCCACAAATATAACAAACTAAACAGTCACCTTTCCATCACTTTTAATGGAATTCACTTTTTAAAAAAACTTGTATTTTCACATGGCTTAGATTAGGTATTTTAATTTAGTTTTAATAGTCTAGAAAATTCCTGTAACTGGTAAATAAGAGGTTAATTTTTTTTTTCCCTGCTTCACAGGTAGTGTCTGTTAGTCATTAACACTCTCACATTGGTTTGAAGATGGCCAGCACACTTGCATATGTTCTGTTAAGATGGCTGCTAGATTATTGCAGTCCTTAGAAACTACAGCATTTTTCTCAAAATATCAGCAGTGCCAGAGGCTTAGAGTTGCTCAGTGTAAAACCACAGTCCATATACCCATGGTTTAGAGGGAATATTTACAAGTCCATGGTTAATCTTTTATAGGGAGTCTCTTTATAATGATCTGACTGTCTTTCCTAGAGTGAAGGATGCTGTTTACTTCCAGCTCCCTTTAGAGCCTCATTTAGGATAAGTAACATGCTGTTGTGCTATGGCCCCATTCTCCTCTGAGGGGTTTGTAGATTAGAATAAAAGTAAGAAAAGTCTAAAATTAGAGAATGCATAAATCTCATTGTTATTGACTGTTTAACAGTTCATTATTCTCTTTTTGAAAATAAAAATTATCCATAAGATTTACTTTTTGTTTATTGCTGTCCCTTCCTGTGTTTCTTCCTTCTAAAGAATTATGATTACTGTTTTATATTATTAAATATAGTTTGGCTTTGTTATTGCTGTTTTAAGCAGAAACATGAAGTGTCTAAATGCAACAAAAAGATCTTTTGTAAGTTGCCAAAATATCCAATGGGGAGATTAAAAAAACTCCCCCTATATTAAGAGTGTTATTTTCAGTACATGTAGAAATATTTTTTCAAAATATTAATTTTTAACTATTTTGATAACGGAAGTGTAAACATTTGAGTCTTAGCATTGTATCAAGAAGTAAAACCACTGCGAAGATCTAATTAAAGAAATTACAGTTTTAGGACTTCATTGTGACATTCTTTGGCTTTATAGCAGACTTCAAGTAGCAATAACAACAGTGTTATAGACTGGAATAAATAAATTTTTAAAAGTGCTGTTTTACTGGGTTTTCTAACCAGCTAGAAAGAAAAATCCATATAATTTTTAAATTTGCTTGATAGTGAGGATAAAAGTTTGGAATCAGCTGTTGTTAAAGTCATCAATCCAGATGAGCAATGTGACGGAAGCCTGGAGTTACAAGCATCTTCTTCCTCTTTAGTAGTAAAAGAGATTCTTCAAGAGGCACCAGAGTTAATCACTCAGCAACTGGCTTATCTCCTCAGAGGTGAGAGATTACTCTTTATATTAAATACTGAAATATTTAATGGAGTGTTTCTGAATCTGCTCATGCAGACAGAGTGTGATCCATTCTTTGGTTAACAATCCCTTTAAAGACCACAGGAAGCTTCATAAAAGAAGCAGGGAGTAAAGAGTTTGTTAAAGAGTAACATTATATTGAATATTAAAAATGTGCATTTAAAAATAGGCATGAGAGGTCTTTGCTGTATCACTAGAGAAGAATATTAAATGGGGCTGTCGACACACCAGCTGGGTAGCTGGAAAAGCTGTGCAGTTTGTCGATTCCAGGGGCTGTGCAGCGCTGCCAGTTCGGCTCAGCCTGCCTGTGGACAACAATATGGATTGGAATCTAATATTTACAGTTAAAGCTTCTCCCAGTGACGGTACCTCTTTACAGAATGATACTTCAGTGGTGTGGTGCAAAACTTTTGCTGCTTAAAAATGCTGTAACCTGTCAATCTTCATGGCACCCTCGATTTCTTTTGTATTACATGCCCAGTAGAGGCAGAAATGTTTTCATATCTGTCTTTACCATTCATAATTTGTGTTAGTTTCCTCGCTTTATTTTCTGCAGCAGAATTCTTCAGTTGGAAGTAAAACTGGGGTTGAAAGGAAGTAATTTTTTCTTTTGAGTTATTTAATGAATTTTAATAGTGTTTAATGAATTTTAAAGGTTTTAGATTTTAATTGTGCAGCCGTGAAATGCCCTTTTAAGAAATTACTGTGGGCATGTTTAATGAAGATTATGAAAACTTGCCTACATGTATATTTCAGAAGCTACTGGAGTCTTCACTGTGATAACTAATCATCTTAGAACCATAAAACGGTTTGGGTTGGAAGGGACCTTAAAGATCAGCTAATTCCAAGGGCCATGTCCTACTAGATCAGGCTGCTCCAAGCCCCATCCAAACTGTCCTTGAACACTTCCAGGGAGGGGGGGCCACAACTTCCGTGGGCAACCTGTGCCAGTGTCTCATAGCCTTCATAGAGAAACGTTTCTTGCTAATGTCTAGTCTAAATCTACCTTCTTCCTTTTTGAAGTCATTACCCCTGGCCAACCCCAACTCTCTCAGCCTATCTTCATGGGAGAGGAGTTCCAGCCCTCTGATCATTTTAGTGGCCCTCCTCTGGACTTGCTCCAGCAGGTCCATGTCCTTCCTGTGTTGGGGCCAATGTTCTGATGTTCTAATTAAAAGAGATACTTTTTAAAAATTATTTTTTCTTTTCACGTAACACAGCATTTAGCTCCATCTTTTACTACCTTTCCATGCTAATAAGCTCTAGTGAACCAGCCATGAAATATATTTGTAAGCTCCAAATTTCTGTTTAGTAGCTGTCCAGGAATTTAGGCAAATGACCAAGCATAATAATTGCTTTTGGAGGGAGAACCAGAAAGATGTTTGGGGATCTCTCAGGGTACCTGCTTGGTGGTGGAAAACGGCCAAGAGGCCGTGCTCAGTGTAATGAACAAGAACGTGTTCAAGTAGTATTCATGGTTTTAAGTGTCTGCATGTTTTGGCTCTCTAGTCAGTATCCAAGGTAAAATAAAGTGCTTTTATTAGAGAAATATTGGGAATGTTGGCATTAGAGTCAGCACTTCCAGTTTTGAGGGAGATAGTAGCTTTCTTCATTTTGATTACTGTGTTTGGTAGCACATATTTGAGGAACTTAGTGGACATAGGAGTTCCTGCATACCTTCTCTTGCATGGTATGAGAAGTGATTGACAAACCATAAACAACACAACACAGCTGCACTTACAACTTAATGGTTTTCTGCTTCTCCCCCCAGCACAGTTCACACATACAGAAGGCCAGCCAATACAGTGAGTCTGTGGCACTCTTAAAATAGAAAGGGTTTTTGGTACTTAAGAACCTTCCATTGCAAATTCAGAAGATCCAGTAAATCCCATTACTGGTTTGGGAATATATTAAAAAAACCCCACAATCCTGTATATGGTTTGGAAGAAGCAGTGGCAGCTTCATTTTTACTACCTATGAATGTGTGTGTAGATGCTCACAGGGTGGCCAGTCTCTCTGGTTGCACTCCACAAGTGTACAGCCAGTAAGAGGCTCTATTTTTTTTTTTTTCCTATATTGTTATCTTACTGCCAACCTTAATCTGTATATTGTTAGTATGTGTGCATTTTAGGGGGAGTTAGAACAGAAGACCAAGGTGGAAGTCAAAGTGCTAAGAATTAGGATTTTATTTTCATAAACCAGCGGAGAGATCTCAACATCTGGGTCTCTGAGCTGGGAACTAATCTTTCATTCTCTGGCTTTCCAGGGAGTATTTTGCTAGAAGACTTGTAAGATGATACAAATACCTCATGTTTTAATAATTGTCACATAGTGGCTGTGACAGTTTTGTTTGTTGCCTCTTTTTCAAACATTTTTTCTCACAGTCTATTATCAATTTTTTATTTTAATAACAAAGGCAGATGTTTATAACGTGCCATATTTCCACTTAGAAAAATTACACCTGCTCTTCTATGTTAAAAAAAAAAAAAAAAAAAAAAAAGTCAAGAGAAATGACTTTTTTTGTGAAACTGAGCATTATTGATTTAGGCAGTTTAAGACTTTTTTCAGCTGAATGCTTTCCTGATATCTTTGTCTCCCCGGCAGACATGCCCTTGGGCTTTGAACAGAGCCTGCTTGGAGAGTCAGGGTGTTGTACAGCCATATTTGCCTTAAGTTAGCTAAGCTTGTGCTGTCCCTGGATTTGTGCCAGAAGCAAACTGTTATGGAACCTGCCAGAGTCTTGAGCCTGTATTATTTTATTTCCCCAGAGATGTTTACAAAGGGACTGTTGCCAAACTCAAGATCCATTAAACTGCTGAATCATTGCATTTTCTGTTGCAGCCAGCTGGCAAGGATGTGATTCCAAGCACTCACTGTCAGGTACCTTGGGTCAGTGTACTCTCAAAAATGCCTCCTTATGTTTATTTGTATAAGGCCTTGAAGGATGCCACAAGGTGCAGACTGCAACATGTAAATAGAGACAGATTTACAGCAAGGGCATCAGCTTTTTTTTTTTTTTTTTAAATGTGAATCTTCTTTTTCTAGCTATGAACTGCATCTTTTTGTGCCCTTTTGGGGCAGTCTGTCTCTCAGTAGAGAAGATTAGTTTGTTATTCTAGCCACCCAGACAAATGTTAAGAAATTTCCTTTTAAGGATTTTGGGAATGATGCCTGATTTTTTTTTTTTTTTGTTATGTCTTGTACATCCATCAGATGATTCACATGTTCCTTAATTGGTTCATCCTTAATATATATGCCAGGATTAAAGAAACATTTTCAAGTGCACCAAATGCTGCACTTATTTGTACTGATACTTTTGGTTTTATGTATGAAAACTGTTTTCTTGGATGCAGAGCTTCCCTCCTTCCCTTCCTTTACCCCTGCCCCAGCTACATTTAATTCCAGCTTTGTGGCTTTCCTGTTAATTACAATGAAGACTTGAGTCTGTTTTACAGTTTTGGTTTGTGGGTTTTTTTGGGAGTGGGAAGTGTTGAAGTATACTTTCCATGAGGGACAGTAGGCTTTCATCTTTTCCCTGTCCTTTATTATTCCAGGTCATGGAACAAAGCCTCAACAGGATAAATGCCTATATTTTCATTGTACTGTTTCTCTCAGTCATAAACTTATAATTCAGGAGATGCTTGTGCTGTTCTTAATGTTTTCCCAGAACGACTTCTGCCTTCATTAGATGATGTTTAATATTAATGAACAGCAATTGCTTTTGGCAAAACAAGGGCTTCACTTCCAAACTGCTTTGCAAAAGGAATAAAATGCACATTGTTTTTAAGAGTCCTAGCCTATTTTCTAGTGACCTTTGCTTAGGAAAAAAATATCTGTAATTTAGTGTGATGTACACAAGAAATAATATTGAATCTTGTATTACCTATTATATATTTCATTGTTCTGTTCTTGTCAGCAGACAGAGCAGCCTCCATTATGCTTTCAGAAACCCTGGGGGGGCTTGCACCAGCACTTAGTAAAATCTGCAGGAGATTTCTGAGCCCATGTATCTCTCTTACATCACATACTTAGAGGAGAGCACATGACTCAATGGACAACTGACCTGTGACCAAGGAAAAGTACCTGGAGTGAGCTGTTTTTCTAAACTATCAGGAATCTTAACCCTCGCAGGGATGCTGTAGGTGCCTGAGGGAGAAGATGCGTGACTTTCTATCCCACTGATTAATGCAGTATTAAAGAATGAAGAAAGAATAGATGTTGATCTTGGGACTTGCTGACACCCTATTAATTTGAGAAAGATAATCTGTCTTTCTTCCTGGTAGAAAGGTTAGCAATTGTAAGCACTACAGTATTGGTGTGGTAAGTAGGAAAAGTAGCCTTTTAAAAGATGCCTTTCAAAGCTTTTCTAAGATGTCTTCCTGTGATGAGGCATTATTTCAGTCTGACTGCATTCCATGTCCTAGGCAATCTTTCCATTTCTTTTTGTTTGGGTAATAAAGAAATAAAAGACTCTTCTTTCCTCAACTCCTTTCCTGTCTTGTCTCCTCATATCCCTTTACTTTGTTCTACAAGGGCTGGGCTCTATCAGGCCTGGAGTTACTCAGTTTCATTTGACAGTCCAGCCCTAAACTTTACAGTAGAAACTGCCTGTGCTGGATGGCAATATTACCTGTTTGAAGTACTGATGTAGAGCAAAGGTTATTGAAATAATCCATTTCATTTTATTTAGTGGTTTGGGAATTGTTTGAGGAGCAAGAAAAAATAATTTTCCTTAAATTCTGAGCCTCAGAAACTGTCTTCATTTGACCTCCTCTTTGGTGGAGCCTTTATTACGTTTTAGGAGGGACATAGTTCTGCATTTGTCTTATAGCTTATGGAAATCAAGGACTGATGGGATAAAATCAGTGGTGTAGTTATTGCTTAATTCACAATCAATCCTGTAATTAGGCTGGAATGATTTGTGATTTATGGAGCTAAAATTAAGCAGAAGTTGCTGACCTGACTGAACTCACTACATAGTAGATATTTCTATGTAAGTAGGCAGACAATGAAGCTTACATCACATTGACCTCAAAACTGATGAGTTTGATTAGATACAGGACTCATACCTCTCGTTTGCTGTATTTTTCAGTGTGTTTGTGTTAAAATTTTTTTTTCTAGGTCTTCCCAAATACTCTTTCCCCTGAAGCACACACAGCTGTGGTATGAATTTTACACATTGTGTTTCTGAGTACCTCTGCAGATGGACAGGCTGCCTGGGAAGCTGTATGGCACATGAAACAGCCTCTCTCCCATAGGAAATTGTGTGATGAATTTGAGAATGCATTGTTGGTCCAGTACTCCATTTCCCTTGTGTGTGCTTGAGCTATTTCCTTGTCTGCTCCTGGAGGAAGAAGAGGGTACTGAAAAAGAAGAAGCTTGCTGTTACTAAAATAATTTATGCAATCTGGTCCCTGAATTGCCATTTGTAATTCATGCAGCCTGGTCCCTGAGTTATCATTTATCCAGGTGCACCTCTGTGTGGGCTGGGGATTTGCTGTGGGCCATCTAACTCATTCTGGTCACTGCCCTTCCCAAGGTATGGACACAAATATGTAACGTGGGAACTGTTATCTGGTTAGAAGTGGCAGCAACAGATAGTTACATGAATTATCGTAGAGACTGCTGACTGAGAAACTTGCTTCAAATAGCAGGGACTGAAAGATAGCCTTTTCTAATTTATGTGGATATCTTGGGTGCTTTATATATCAGTTATTTACCTCTAGTCATCTGAAATCTGCTTGCTTGTGAAGTCATGTTTTGTGTACCCAAATTTACAAATGACAGTCTGGATCAATATACGTGATTTTCATGCAGTCTGTATTTCTTTGGTATTTTAATGCTATGAAACAGAACAGGAACATTGTCTTAAAGTGGCAATAAGACTGATCAAGAAAGTGAACTGAGAATTACAAGAATACTGGCAGTTACAGGATCTGTAACAGAAGCACATAATGGAATTTAATGTATGTGAATCTCCAGAAATCAGCATCTGATGGGGAACAGCTTTTGGCTTATTAAGCACTACTTAGTATTTAGTCCACACAGGATTTGTCTAATAAAGAAGTGTACACTTAGTATGTAAATTTTTATTATTTTTTTTCTTTGCAAATGCTTTATGAATTTTGAATACATGCTTTTTTTTATCTTATGTGATAACAGTGTAGGAGAAAAATGGATACCTACTAGATGTTTGGGTGCTAGCCAGTCTAGTGAGATTGAGGATTTCTGTGTCCATGTTTTTTCTTTTCCTCTCTTGGCTCTGTGCTGAAGACTAAATATTTTGGCTTACAGTAACTTATACCATTGTATCTATTTGCTCATTGACCTAGCGTGATGCAATGCAATCATACACTTGTTTTAAATCCCTAGGCACAGTATAGCAATAAATAATTTCAGTGCTGAAGTAAAAGATTTTATTATCCTTAACGTCAGAGGAATAATTGGAAGTGGAAGTGTGAATTTATAAACGAGATCCCAGTCTTCAGGGAATGAAAGTGTGACTTTAAACGTTGAACCATCGGGAATGTTTCACATCCAGGATGGCAAGCATATGTGCAGCACATAATTGTCCAAAAAGACCTCAAACGAATCTCTTTATTGTCAGAGCATAGAATTTTTGATGAAGTTATTTAATGGATAATTTTTCTCTTTAATTTTAAAATTGAATGCCTTCTTTTTGGGGGATGAATGTTCTGTGCTTTTTCATTATGTTAATTGACGAGGAATAAGCTGGATTCACTTACCTCAAATGACTTTAGTATTATCTAGTCCAGCCACCCTGCCATATACATACAGGGACATCTTTCACTAGATCAAGTTTCTTGAAGCCCCATCCAATCTGACCTTGAACACTTCCAGGGATGGGTCATCCACAGCTTCTCTTGCCATCCCCATGGTAAAGAAATTCTTCTTTGTGGCCTTTGTAGCAGTTCATTGACACATCTGTAGAAGGAATGTCAGCAGCATGGATTTACTGTTTCCGAACATACCAGCACTCGGTCTAATGTTTAGAGAGAGGAACAAGTGCTGGTGTGCCCCAGCCTGCTACTGGCCACCCTGCAGAGCTCTGTTGGACATGCAGAAGCACACTGCACCCTGTGGTGGCACTGGGACCAGCTGTAGCATAGACCTAGACAAGCCGCACAGGTCACATTTTAGAAACTGCCTTTGGGTTGGGAGGGTGTTTCTGTGTGAAAAGAATGCAATAGTTAATTCAGTGAACTTGTCAATGGAAAGAAATGCCAGAAAGAAAAGGGCCTGGATGACGATACAGTAAGCATTATTGTTTCTGTAGTACCTCTGCTGTTTACAGGAGGCACTGGTTTTTGTTTTTTGATGTTTCAGGAAGCATTCTCTTCAAGTGCATGTCTTTGGAGGCTGGCAGAATTACAGAGCAGCAGGAGAAATTACTGTCAATCCTAGAGGAAAAGTTTCCTGATCTTCCTCCACGAGAAGAAATTATCTCAGTTCTCCAGGAGACTCAGTTTAACCCACAAGGTAGTGCAACTTGCTTCCATTTTTCACGCCTTTTATGAGTTTAGTTATGTGATTGTATCACATAACACGGTCCATTGTGTGGGGTGAAAATAGTTGCAGCATGGGCAGCATGCACTTCAGGGACAGTTACATGTGATATATTTAATTTTAAATTAAGTGACTCATGGAATTATGATTTCTGTTGATGAACTACTAAATTCCTAAATAAACTTATTTCTTTTACAGATAAAGTAAACAATAATTTATGCCATATATTGCTTTTACAAGTGTTTGCTAGTCAAGAATTGGTGTTATTGAAGTACAGGTGTACAATCAATTGATATGTTGGCCCAAGTGCAGAAATTATGCTACAATTACCTGCATGATGTGGGAGTAGATTTTCTCTTTGGAACCTTCCCAGATTTATATAGGGTTCTGTACAGGTGGAATTAGTTTGACTTTAGACTAAGGTTAAGGAAGCAGTGGGAAAATTGCTGTTTTTCTGTTCCTTCTGCTAGAAATAGCTGAACGCATTTGTCATTTTTTCAGTGATCAAAAGTGGGAATGTTTGAACCCAAAATTTGGTAGCAGGCTTTCAAAGGGATGCCTGAAGAAAATGGTTGCAATAACTCTAGAACATTTTTGCTTTGTTAAATGATGTTTGCTACCAAGTTCTTACCAAAGAGTGAGTATTGAATTACTGACATACTTTCTTTAGGTGTATCAGCCAAGCACAGAGTCCATGCAGACTTGTAGTTTTTTGGGGTTTTTTTTTGCATTCTCTACCTCCCCATCTGCAGAACCCTCTCATCTGAATTCAGACCATCAACCTCAGACAGCTGCTCTGGCTGATAGTTCAGGACAGAATCTGAGGTGCTGCTTTAGTTGCTCTTTGTTTCAGAGAAGTTGCAGACTAAATCACTTCAGGGCTAAAAATCTTCACATAGTTCTGTGAAGTTCCTCCAGACGTTAGTCAAGGACTCATAGGTCAGAACTGAACTGAATGGAGCCCACATTGGAAAGACCCAGTGAAAGGGGCTTTTACAGGACTAAGTTCTTAGTTCTGCCAGTGGCTGGGGAAGATGGTTTGTCACGTACTTGGCCCATGAAGCTTACCTTAATATCCAACACAAAACTTGGACATAATGGGTTCTGTCTGCGTAGCACTGATTGCCAAAAATTTGTATATGCTACATGAGGAGGGTAAATGCCATAAACTTGTGGGGTTGGTTTTTTTTTGTCTCAGAGTTGTTGTTTGTTGTGCATTACGTATTTAGCACTCCATATATTCATATGGCATTTGTTTTTATTAAGATGCTGTTGAGTTTCTGAAGTCCTTCAAAAGCACTAACCTCTTCTGAAATTTTACCTTATGTACCTGTTATTTCAGGTGATATTAGGACAAATCAGCCAAAAAAATTATCAGACAGATATAATGAGTTATTGATCTGAATTCATGAATAGGTTTGTTATTTGAGACACAGTGGACTATAGCCCACCAGAAGTCTACATGTTACCTATAAATATTTTTCAAAGGACAGATGTGTAAATATAACAAATATGTGAACATCAGCCAGTTCATCTTGTCATTAGATGGAATGCAGTAGCTGAACTTTATACAAGAACACTAATGAGAGGATTAGTTTGCTTTTCCTAAATTGATATTTGGCTCTCTATTAAAAATAACTTATGCAAACATTTTTTGGATGTTATGCTGCTAAGTTTTAAAAGTCTGTGGACATTTTAGTTGTCATTCTGCAATGAAGTAGCTGGCTTGCACATTTGTTATCACATTTGTTTTTGTGTGTGTAATAAAACCATGTGTGTGATAAATGCTACACATGATACATATTTCTGTTGAGAGTATCTACAGCATTTTAGACATCTTTCATTAGAGAAACTTAGTTGTGGATTTTCAATACATTGTGTTCAACATGTCTGGTTGCAATGCAAAGCAATTCCAATTTTACACTGTTGTTGCTGATGATAATAAGTACTTCAGATTCTATGGTATGTAAACATCTAGTTGGTTCTTTCACGATTTGATGTACATAAGAAGAACCTGTTTGTGTTGGTATCAGTTTGTAAGGAAGGACAAAAGGTTGAATGACTTCGTGTTTACAAAATATCTTATGTGCTTTGCTTCTGAATATTTTATAGATACTGTAGTATTGTATATGCTCTTTTCAGTATATTACCCAGTCAAGAGGTGGTTCACATTAGACTATAGGAATATTCATATATTTGTCGTCAACTGGAATTCAGTGTGTTTAAAAAATGTGTTTGCACACCTTAACTGCAGGAGACTTCTTCCTCCTTTGCTCCTTGTGCCCCTACTCCCCTTTAATTTCTTCCTTGCTTAGAAAATCCTTCTAGAAACATTAAGCACTGAAATATCAATGTTGTTTTTAATTTTCTCATAGGATGTCCTAAAATGCAGAAGGCTCAACATAAAGTCTAAGCTGTGCTTTTAATTTATGTTGCTGCATCTGGTCAGCTCTACATACCTGTATGTGTTTAAATCCCTTTCTCTTCTCCAACAGGTGTAAGTATTGAGGAGGTTATGCTGAAGGATCTCAAGGAGATTTCAGATGGAGAAATCAAAGTAGCAGTTACCACTGTGTACATGACACTGGAGGTAAGAGGAAACCTAAGGTAGTTGATAACAGCTCTATTGCATACAGAGGTGTCTCTTTAGCATAGACTTTGAGACAGTTGTCTTCTCAAAATTATGTATAAGCAGAATTTTCAGTGGTTTAATTAACTTTGAGAGAAATGACTCTGCTGTCTTGGGTGTGTGTCATGAAGAGTGGAAGTGTTGCAGCTCAACAACTCGAGCTCTGATTTCAAACAGAGTTTCACAATAGTAAAGGCAGAGATTTGTTAGTCTGGTATTCTAACAAATGTCACACCTCAGTAGCACATTCTCTAATGATTCCACACTTTCTTTATCTCAAATTTTACAGATCTTAATTGAAAGTAGATTCTAAAAAAATTCTCTGTTCTTGAGAGGGTAGAAGTTCTTTTTAGGAAAGTCTTGACCTGGAGCTAAGTTTCTTTCTCTTCTCTACTGCTAATTCGTTATGTTAAATCAATAAATATTTTCCTCAGTTTCCCCTCTGTAGATTACTGTGGACATGAGCACTGCAAATGGGTACAGTGCTCTGACATGTAGGACACATGGAGGTACAATCCTGTTCTCCGCTTTTTCTTGAAGAAAGACATGAATGCAAAAATCCTAGTACTATTGATGTCAGTGCTTTATTTGTGTGTACACAGGGATATCAGTCACCAGTATGTGATTTACATCTATTGTCAGTTGCCTTACCAGTTGTCAACTCACTGATTTTTGAGTGTCTTGATAATAAAGAATCTTTCAGATATTAAAGGAATTGACGGTGTTTGCCTTAGTGATAAAGGGAGACTTTCCATAAAAGTCTATATGCAGATTTGCATTTATTTGGATGCATAACTACCTTTGGTTCTAGGATTCCTGGATTTAGGTGGCATCAAAGCTGTCAGTTAAAATCAGACCTGTGTCTCCAGTGACTGGCTGCCAGACCACATGCTACTTGGATTTCATCAGCATAGCAGCATTTTTTCAAGACAGTGACAAAAGTGACAGACCCTAGATCAGAGATATTTTTTTTTTGTCTTTGCTGGAAAGTTTCCCCAAAACATAATAATGAGTACTCACAGGAATTGTAGCAAAATGTAGTGCATGCATCACAGTTAATTTCTGTTATGTTATACCCTGAGAGTATATTTCATTTGTTCTCTGCTGGAATTCTTTTGGAAATGAGAAATATATTTTCAATGTGGCTTTCTGTGAAAGGCTTTTTCCTGAGGAATGGATATTTCCTTTGTAAATTGAACTCTGATCTCTGCCTTCTGAAGTCTAGTGCACCAGAAGGACCCTCCAGGTTTTATAAGTCTTGAGGCTGATGATATTGTAGCTTCATAACATGTTAATTGAACTGTGTCCTTAATATTTTAATTAGAATCATGTCATAGAATCATAGAATCATTGAATGGTTTAGGTGGAAGGAACCTTAAAGATCATCTAGTTCCCATGCCCCTGCCATGGGCAGGGACACCTCCCACTAGATCAGGTTGCTCCAAGCCCCATCCAAGCTGGCCTTGAACACTTCTGGGGAAGGGCAATCCACAAGTTCCCTGGAAAACCTGTTCCAGTGTCTCACCACCCTCATTGAGAAAAATTTCTTGCTAATGTCTAATCTAAATCTGGCCTTTTCGGTTTTAAAGCCATTACCTCTCATCACTCCATGCCCTTGTCAAAAGTCCCTCCCCAGCTTTTCTGTAGCCCCTTCAGGTAGTGGAAGGCCTCTCTGTAAGGTCTCCCCATAGCCTTTTCTTCTCCAGGCTGAAAACCGCTACTCTTAACTTGTCTTCATAGTAGATAGGCTCTAGCCCTCAGACCATATTTGTGGCTCTCCTCTGGACTCACTTCAGCATCTCCATGCCCTTCTTAGGTTGATTCATGATAATTTATTCTAACTGCTCACATGACTTGCAGTAACTTAGGAAGACATAAAATCAAGTTTCTCCAGGGCAGGCAACGGAACACAAGGCAAATAGTTTATGGTTGTCTGCTACTGACTAGTACAGGCAAGGGAATACATATGTTCTGAAGTCTGACCAGTTTGTTGAAGTTCTTGTTGATGTTATTGGCCATGGTATCTGAATATTTCACAGAGACAGCTTTGAGGTTGGAGAGGTTGTGTAATCTTTTAGTACTGAAGGGTTGGAGCCACCTCTGTGTGGGTGCCAACCAGGAGGTTTAGAGAAAATGCCAAAACCTCAAGGGAGGTTGCTGTCACCAATGCAGGAGTCCCAAGAAGGTGACCTTCAAGTGCCTGCTGGCACAGTGCCAGGAGAAAGTCCTGGCTCCTGCAACAACTTTCCTCTTTGTCACTCTGTGTCTCAGAGAAACTCACAGTAGCTTCTTTCAGCAACAGTAACTTAGGAAATTTAGACATGTCTGGGCACAGGGCGGATCTGCTTCCCAATGAATAAATAGTTTGATACCAGCGAGGCAGTTTAATTTTCTGGCGATTTTGTAGTAACTAGTATAGCGTGCAACTATGTTACTAACTTTGACAATTTCGTTTGTATGTTATAAAAAGGAATGTTTTTAATACTTCTATAAAGCAAATCAAGAATCTGTCTAAGATGGAGTGTGTCAAACAAGTGCTAGGTAGACTGTTGAACTATTGCAAACAGTTAAGTGAGATTACATGTTTGTTTGAAGATTTGAACTTTTGGTGTTTGTAATGACTGGGCCATAGTGATGTATTTGGGAACATTTTCTTGCAGTATACATATAAACACATTTAAATGGCATCAGATTGGTACATGGATTTGCTTTTGATGCTAAAAACAGAAGAAGAAAACCCCAAGTAAACATGTTAACATTTAATCTTCCAGTAATGGAACTGAAAACAAAATTCTCAGCAACTTACAATAGCAGTGCGGTTCAGAGATATTTTTCTGATGCCTGTTGTGAGAAGTTAGGGTATGTAAAATAAATGATGTATGGAGCTGTAGGAATGCGACTTTTGCAGACTACCTTATGTCTAAGGAACATTAAACATAGGGTTCTCGTTTAGCAAATAAATAACCATTCATTTCGATGGCTGCATAGTCTGGACTTTTGTGCATATTTTTGCAAAGATGAGACGAGGCCATTAGGGATTTAATATAAAATAAATCGCCAAGGGGTCTTCTTGTAGTCCTAGTCTTTCTGCCACATGGTGTGTCACTAATGTGCATAAATGGGCTTAAATGAATTTGTTATCTGTATTACATTTGCAGTATGTATATATTTATATATTATTTTTTAATTGTGTTTAAAAATAAAACATTAAATACATCATTTCTGAGAGCTGAAAACATACAATTTGTAAATAAAACAACCTTAATTAAAGTCTTAAAATGTCAGTATGTGAGATCTGCCAGTTGGAAAATGTACAACATATGTAGTACACAAAGCTTGAACATACTTTAATTTCCTTTTTTAGAAGTATTAGGCCCCTTCCAGAAGATATTGTGAGGATGATACAACTTAGTTCCCCTACACAGTGGGTTGCATCTCCATGTATTCATGTAGGATGTCAAGCAGGGTGTTCATTATGGCTCCTTGCAATATGAGAAAACTGTAAACTTGTAAAACCAGCCAAGGCCATTATATTTATCAGTCCAGTTTGGCCACTGCTTAAAACATTAAATATTAATTTATTCAACTGTCATAGTTCTGTCATAACTCACAGAAAACCTGAAGAGTCAGAGACTTTGTAGTTGCAGTATCTCTTTAGGAATGCACGAGGTCTACAGTGGTATCAGGTTTGCAATGGTATGTATGTTGGATTTCAGTTAATTTTGGTCTCTGAAGAAATTGGGTAGACTTCATTGGTTCTAATTTGTGTGACATCTGGCCTAAATTTGGCCCATGCTACTTTTTATGATTTTGCCTTTACAGGTTTTCTTCAATCTTGGTTCAAAGGTGAATTAACAAATACAATATATGAGAATTAGTAAAGGAATAAGCATAGACATTAGATTAATATACTAACATCACAGTAAAAATGTGCTTATGTTTACAAGTACATTGTTCAAGAAGATGAAGCTTATTTTTGTTTGTATCATTTATGAAATGTTGTTTTTTTAAAATATTTTTTTAAATGAAATACAGCTGTATAATATACACTATCAGCTAAATAAAATGCTGTCATCTGCAGTATCATTATTGGACTGCATTCCTGACTTCTACAAAGCTGACTAATTTATCATTTGTGTACTCTCCTAGTTCTTGCCAGTAGTATCTCAGCTCAGCTGTTCATGGGGCATAGACACTGACGGCGGGAGGTGCTGTTTTGAGAAATGTTCAGCATAAAAAGAGATTTTCTATGAAATACAAATAGGTTTTTTGGTTTGTTTTTGGTTTAAATTTCAATGTTAAACCCAACTTGGAGATTTAATGTTTTAAAATGTGGCCATACTGTTTGATAACTGATAATTGATAGGAACTGATAATAGTTAAAGATAAAACCAGTATGAATATTACAGAAAAATTAAATTTTATTTTCTGCTGTTTGTTTTTTTCATTGCTGTTGTGTGGGAAACAACTGAATTAGAACATTAAACTGTTGATGCATGATTATGGTATAATTCCAGTTACAAGTTTAGGTTTGCTGGTGTTAGTGTTGCAGACTACAGAAGACAGCAATTCAGTCAACAGGAGGTAATAGGGATACATGGTATTTCTAAGCAAATGTCTGTCTTGGTGACTGCTTTTGTATTTTTCAGTTTTTTACATTAAAAAAAATCAAAGCAAAACCATGAACCACATTTAAAATCATACAATATTTGCTTAGAATAGTGATTTTTTTGATGCAGAAAACCAACAAAATATGTCTACTCTGTCTTGAAATATTAATTTTATTCGATCTGTTTGGCAAAGCATGTGCTTAAAGCACCTTCTGAACTGTAGTGTAAGTGAATCCATAACACTTGTAAACATTACAATAGCCTGTGTTTTTAACATACCCCATTGAATTTTATGCCTTATGCTACATTCCAGAAGCCTAGCCCAGAAGTTACTGGGTTTTTTCAGGTGTA